ATCCTTAATGTTGGTTGAAACTTGAAAATATGCCAAGCCTGCAAGTTCAACCTGTAGGACTCATTCATTAATAGCTTTCTTTCTCAAACACGAATCGAGAAAGATGTTTTTTTCTCAATCACGCGATGTCGAACCATCATTTTCAGCCACTGGGAAAAAAGGATAACAAAAAAATATATTAAACACAGAACATTTAAGTAAACTAAAAACACTGCAACCTCAAAACTATTTCTTCTGTTTACAACAAGGTGAAAGAAAGCTAAACATACTTTGAATCTTCAGTTCACAAAACCAACAGACAACATCGAATATTCTCCTCAGGATGATTTTTATCTCCATTAATAAAAATCTTGAGCTCAACCCCAGCTACAACCAGGCGATTTCTTCACATCATTTTCTCTCATCGCATGTCTCAACTCCGCCACCTCATCATACTTCCCAGCCGCCCCATAAACATTCGACATCAACACATAATTCCCACAATGACCTGGCCCGATCTCGAGCACCCTCCTAGCCGCCACCTCTGCCAGGTCAGCATTCCCATGGAGTCTACATGCGGACAGAAATGCCCTCCACACTACCTGATTGGGCTCGACCGACATACTCAGAATCAGCTCGTGGGCTTCCTCGACCCGCCCAGCCCGGCCCAACATATCGATCACGCACGAGTAGTGCTCGATTGTTGGGGCCACTCCATATTTTGGTTTCATCTCGGAAAGAAGCTCTCGGCCTCGATCCACGAATCCCGCGTGGCTGCAAGCGGATAATATCCCGACGAAAGAGATTGCATCGGGTTTTAATCCACAGTCGAGCATTCGGGAGAAAAAGTCCATTGCCTCTTTTCCGAACCCGTGCATTCCGTACCCCATTACCATGATATTCCACGAGGCCACGTCTTTTATTTTCATACCTTCGAAAAACCAGACAGTCCCATATTATATATAGCATAATCATTTCCTAACTAAGACTAAGCTAAGAAAAGAAGTAAGCAGCTGCTAAAAAATATTGAAGATTTCGATTTTCGAGTTTAGAATTGTGATCAAGAAATCGAAATCCTATATCGCTACATATATCGATCTATTTCAGAATATTTATATATTTGGTTAGAGAGAAAAGTCCCTCCACCATAATTTCATACCTTCGAAAACCAGACGGGCCTCTCTCATGCTCCCACATTTTGCATACATGTCCATGATCGCGTTTGAAGAGTAAATGTTGCCAAGCTTGTCGAGCCCGTTAATGAGCATATACCTGTGTATCTCTCTACCGTGCAACAATGCAGCTAAATTCGCACAAGTCGGAAGAGCGGCAGTTATAGTGACTAAATCGGGCCGGAAGCCCGAACTCAACATCGCCTTCAAAAGCTTCAAAGATCCTTCGTGATCACTACACCGCTCATGAACAGTGATAATTGAATTCCATGAATAAATGTCTTTATCTACTATGTTCTTGAAGATCGTTAATGCATCCACAAGTTGACCACATTTCCCATACGTGTCGATTAGCGCATTCGAAACTGCAAGACCCGAGTCATATCCTGATTTTACAGCAAAAGCATGAACTAATTTGCTGTTGTGAATGTCCCCTGCTAATGCCAAAGCTGATAATATGCCGGTAAGAGTGAACCTGTTAGGAATCACTTCATAGCTTGCCATCCTCTTGAAAATCGACAAGGCCTCATTGAATTCACCAATCTGCACGTATCCGTTAATCATGGCGTTCCAAAGAACGATATCATCCTTCACGGACAATCTCTCGAACAGCTGCTGTGCATCACTCATCAGCTGAAATTTCAAATAGCTATGCAGCAACGCGCTACCTATGTACAAATTGAGACCCAACTGAAGCTTACACAATAACCCGTGAACATTTTTCAAGTCCAACACATTCGAGCAAGCCTTGATGACGCAGGGGAAGGTGAACTTATCAGGAACCACGCAGTCGGACAACCGCATTCTGCAGAAGACGTCAAAAGCTTCCTTTGGCAAGCCGTTACCAGTTAAACCGGCTATGATGGAATTGTAAACGAACACGTTGTGAAAATGGGTTGACTCGTGGAAAACAGAGACAGCGTCGGCGACGGCGCTGCACTTGGAGTACATGTTGATGAGGCTGGTGGCGGAGAAAGGGGAAGGGAGGTGGCCGGCGGCGATCATGAGAGAGTGTACCGTTCTTCCACTGGAGAGTTCTTGATTTTGGGAGCACGATTGAAGAAAGGAAATGCAGGTTTGGATATCGGGGATTGGGCTTGGCTTGGAAGAGATATTGCAGGGGAATTGAAAATGGGTTTTGCGCAGATGTGCGGTAAGGAACATTCTTTTTCTCATCGCGGGTAATGGGATTCGAGAAGGCAAATTGGCCGTCAGTCGCCGGAGATGGGCGGGCGTGGCGATGGGTCCACCGTGTGCGGCGGAGAGAGGGAGAGGCGCAGAGGGATTCTGCTGGAGTTATATTTCGTATTTTGCTTACTACTTGGGAGTTGGACGTCGTGCATCTCGGGTTGTACATATAATAAATTCGTGGCTTGAGTCCAAAAAATTAAGAACCATGCTTTGGATTCAATCCCGCGAAATTATATGTCACCTAAGAAATAGACTTAGTTTAAACAAATAAATTTTTCAATGCAAATAAAAGTAGATTGGGTCTGTTGATGTGGCAGCCAAAAAAGAGACTGGATCTACCATTAAGTCTATTTTAGACCCAAGTAGAGACTTAGCATCTTTGCATTGGAGTGGATTTTGTTAAATTTATATAGTTTTATCCATGTCATCTGAAGACTTAAAATTTCCATGTCATCTGAAGACTTAAAATTTATTTATATGTCACGTAGGCAAGACTAGATTCAATGCATTGTAGATGCTCTCTAAGACTGGTTTGAACTCAAATTTTATAATTTCAAAAAAAGGACATCCAATTTTGCAAATTTTTTAGTATTTTCTCCAAACGATATACTTTAATAAAAGAAGAACATGTAACTACATATTAAAAAACAGTTAAATAACCGAATAAATTAGCTACTAAGCTGAATCTAGTTGAGAGGACAAACCTCATAGGAATCTAGTCCGAAATTGCCTACAACCAACCTAAACACATAAAACCAACACTAAAAAGCAAATGTTCCCAACATGATAAGAGAACAACCTCCAACGGGAGAATACAACAGGAAAATAAAAATCAAACTAAAATACAAAACTAAACAAAAAAGCAAAAACACACTAACAAACCGAAAATCGCTACGCAAAAAACGAAGTAAGAATTAACGTCTTCCCCGCCAAATAGAAACACCTCGCGCCAACACTGCCCAAGCTAACACTCAAATGCGAAGACCCAAGAGAGGCCACGAGAACTACATACCAAACACGATGGAATTAGAAACTCCCCTAATAGGCTAACTAGAACTGGACGGTAGATCCAACAACCACCCTAAAAAATCAGCATACTCATCTAGGTTGGTCCACTCCACAACAACTCACCCCCCCTAACCACCCGAGCCCACACGAAAAAGGGGGGGGGGGGGGNGGGGGGGGGGGGGGGAAGGGGGGAACCAACTCGAGCCCAACATCAGGGAAGGCCGAAGAGGGGAAAACCAAGATTAGACCGTCGTCATGGACCTCTGCAAAGACGTCGCGGCGTCCGATAGAGCATAGCCGCCGGTGAATCCTGTCACTACTCGCTCTCCATGGCGCTTGAGATGAGAGTCAAACCGCTTTTGGGAGGAAGAAACGAGGGACCACCATAGATGTGCACTGTCAAACCCAGGGCAGGCCAGCTGCTCGCCAAGACTGCAAGAACTAGGCAAATGAAGAACTGCTAGGGCTCGACGAAAGGAATTTTGGGATTTTTTGGAGAGATAATATTGAAAGCTTTTCTTTTAACTATGTCTATCAATATTTTTAGTTCAATAGATTAAATAATAAAAAATTGAAGTCAGTATTTAACATTTTTTGAGTCAGAATCGGTTTTGATCATATCTACTGCAGAGATCAATCTTGCAACAACCACAAATCCCAACGGTTGGAGTAAAAAATGGTCATTTTGGGTCAAATCAGACCTAGTTTCAACTTCAAAATTTAAATTAAATTTTTTTAAATTGGTGTGTCGAGATCAATCTTGCAACAACCACAAATCCCAACGAATGGAGTAAAAAATGGTCATTTTGCATCGAATCGGACCTAGTTTCAACTTCAAAATTTAAATTAAAATTTTTTAAACTGGTGTGTCGGATAGAAACATGATACGCCTTCCAGTTCGAAACCCGAAAGTCCAAATAAGCTTTGACAGTCAAAACCCGACTTGGTTCCAGTTTCGGCCCGTAACTGAGCTAATGGGCCCGTGCTTCTGGTCGGCTCAGTGGGCCCGATGGCCACGTCTATATAAAGCCCCTCAAGAGAATACACACCAAGAGAAACGAAAAAACAATATACAGTTGTATCCCATCTAATGAACTGACCTTTGGCCACGACAATAGGTCAGAAAACCACCAATACACAAAAACATATACACACACTAAACTACGACGCCATCACTTCACAGTCCGACCAGAGAGAGAAAAGAAAAAAAGAATCAGAAACAAAACAAAAACATCATAAGCACAGGTCGAAAAACCAACTCCAAGAATTAAAATCGAAGGGAGGCGCGTCACGGGTGGTTCATAACGTCCCCCTTTTTATCTCCAAATCCACAATTTTCCTTTTCCACACATTCCACACGCCCTTCACAAGAAGCCCACAACCATTTGATCTCTTCTATATCTCAAAAAATACTATCTATACCCTGCAAAAGCACAGCACACTGCACACGCACTGGTACACTTGCGTCTGTTTTGTAAATATCAGCTGGGTTTTGTGTGTACGCGCGTGTTTGTAGATAATTAGCCTTTCAGGTGTGTGGGTTGGTGAGCTTGTGCTGAGTTTTTTCATGTAAGGATGTCTCTACACTCAGCGGGTCAAGTCGTGCAGTCGGTGAAGCTTTTCGCTGGGAACAGTATTCCTGATTACTGTAAAAAAGACTTCATCTTTGTTGATTTTGTTGGGTTGTGCGGTGCGAGGAAATCCAAGAGAAATGGGACTCGCCGGAGATTGAGCGGCGGCTTAAAGAGCAGCAGCTCTCAGAGGGATCAGTTTATTGGTCTAGCGGCGTCGAAGAAAAACTGGGCTTCATCCATTAAGTCTGTTCTTGATCTTGAACGCGTTAACGGTGGCTCTCGGCAACAGTCCTCTGATCTGAAACCAAAGGTGGGGTTGACTTGACTCGAAACAGTTCTCTTGTTCTTTGTGAGCTGGGGGTTCTTGTTCGATATAATTTTCTCTTATTATTATATTATTACTTGATGTTCTTTGAAACAGTTGAAATGGAAATTTTAAGTGTTTGGTTACTACGATTTAGTTTTTCCTTTTTTTTCTTACCTTCTCTTTACATTTTCTTTTATTCTTGGATGCTGGAGGTAGTTGTGAGGTTGAGTGGAGCTGGAATCTTTTGCAAAAGTTTATTAGTGATGTTTTATAATGCTGTTTTTAGTTCTTCACCTGACCATCTTGTCATTTTGTTGACTTTTGTGCCAAGTTGTGTAGTGTCTGTATTTGTTTGCACGCTTCTTTCAAATATCTGAGGGTGTTAAGTTGTTTTTTCAATTGTTGACTAGTATTCTATGATAGTTTGTATGGTAAAATACTGTGTAATATGGCCCTTACATGTTACAGATGCTCTTAACAGTGATTTTTTCGATCTAATATCGAAAAAAGACTGTTTAGTGACATTCTAGTTGCTCTTGAATGTTGTGTCATATTTGGTCACAATGTGTGTGATATTTATGCGGCTATATCTTGAGCTTTATATGTGTCATGTCGTTGTGGTATCACCAATTTAAAAACCAGGCATATAACTGATGCTATCCTGTGAAAATAAATAACATCTGGACTGATTTGAGATATCTTGTCAGATAGTCAAAAGGGCAGGATGATAGTGATTACTAAGTCTGATGATTTTATCATTAAGAATTTATTAGTATTCCATGAAATGCTGGGATATGGTCTGTTACAAGAATACTAGATACACTTTAGTTTAAGTTTCAGATTGTATAGCTTTTCTTTGTCATTTTNTGTCAATGAGTTGCTTCTTTGTCATGGTGTAAGCTTCTTTTTTCGTTTTTTTGTTCAATTTTCTTCTATCATACTCGCCGTGATAAGTTTTCATAAATGTTCAATGTCAGTAAGGTTTCTGTTTTTATCCATCGATAATGATTCTTAAAAACATTCACCAAATTCAAATTCATTATGCACAGCTTTTTACTCACTTAAACATTATACGCCCGGATATATTCTTCTCAGGCCGCAAATTTGGAAGATATATTATCTGAAAGAGGCGCATGTGGAGTTGGGTTTATTGCGAATTTGGACAACAAATCATCACATGGAATTGTTAAGGATGCTCTCACAGCCCTTGGCTGCATGGAGCATCGAGGAGGATGTGGAGCAGATAATGATTCTGGTGATGGGTCTGGAGTTATGACTTCAATTCCGTGGGAACTTTTCAACAGTTGGGCCAACGAGCAAGGGATGAGTGCATTTGATCCGCTGCACACTGGTGTTGGTATGGTTTTCCTTCCAAAGGACGCTAAACTAATGGAACAGGCCCAGACAGGTCAGCATAATATTTCACGAATATATTTTATTCTAGTTCAAGATGATTCATCAATTTCTTTGCTAGCTTTTAATGATTTTTGCTGATAGCCGTGTTGCCCTCGATTTATTTTTTAGTTGACTATGTTTTAGAGTGGTATCATTTCCACCCATCAATTGATCATCAAAAGATTGTCATTTTTTTCCACAACTTGTTATTGGTTATTTGTGTCGTTTAGAGTAGCATGAGAGGAGGAGGAACAAATGGGGTTACATGGTGTAAGGTGTGTTATTTGAACAACTACGTGAAGAGAAAGGTAGGAATTGTGAATAGTTTAAATTAATATGCCATGATCATGATGCTGCTGTGTAGTTGTAGTATATTATCTTTCGGAATTAAAAAAAAAATGCAAATTAATGGTATATGATTGAGGCACATGATTATTCATTGCATTCGTCAGTTGTGGATTAGTTCTTAATATCATTGAAAATGATATGTAAAAACTGGATCTTTTGAGCTCATGGAACCATGATGCCTTTCTTGATTCTTACTATTCAAGTAAAAATCTCATCTTTTTTTTCAACTTATCATGGTATGAATTATATGAACTAATTTTATCTGCTCTTGCAGCTATTCTGAACATATTTAAACAAGAGGGTCTTGAAGTGCTTGGCTGGAGGCCTGTACCAGTAAATACTTCCGTGGTTGGTTATTATGCAATGGAGACTCTACCAAATATACAACAGATATTCGTTCAAATTTCTAAAGAAGAAAATATTGATGACATTGAAAGAGAGCTTTACATTTGTCGAAAGCTTATTGAAAGGGCAGTAAGCTCAGAGCCATGGGGAAATGAGGTTTACTTTTGCTCGCTGTCCAATCAAACTATTGTCTACAAGGGAATGCTGAGAGCGGCAGTTCTTGGTCAGTTCTATTTTGACCTACAAAACAGTCTGTATGAGTCTGCTTTTGCTATATATCACCGAAGATACAGTACAAATACTAGTCCTAGATGGCCTCTAGCTCAGCCAATGAGATTTCTTGGTCATAATGGAGAGATCAATACCATACAGGTTATAATTTTAGCTGATGGTTTTTTTATCATGCTCATCAGAGTAATCATTGAATTGAATATTCAGTGAACTAAAGCTGATTTTTCTTCTTTCTTTCCTTATATTTTTTTCTTCTCAGGGGAACTTGAACTGGATGCAGTCCCGAGAGGCTTCACTCAAATCCTCTGTTTGGCGTGGTCGCGAAAATGAAATTCGCCCATTTGGAAACCCAAAAGCATCCGACTCTGCGAATCTTGATATGGCTGCTGAGGTAGTTGAATGCATTTTATCAATACCATCCCATGGTTTATATGGAATAGCATGTGGAATATAACATATAGATAAATCTCGAAATAGAAGACCTATTGGAGGAAGTTCTATCTGAATATTTGATCTATTTTTTTTCACCCCCTGATAAATGATTATTGAGTTGCACCTAATTGGTGTCCTTCAGTTGAATATTCATTTATGCATCAATGCATGACAAACCAAAATTTCAGTGTTAGCACATCAAGCTTCTTATCTACAAAGCCTCTTTTT